AGCAGCAGGAGCAGCAGAATATCTGGCACACAGATCTCTAGCATGACAAAGCTGAGCTTCTTTGTGGCAGCGTCGGCGGCGACGTCGGCTGAGGAAGGCACGGGGTCGAATATAGCAACGGTGCCGGCAACACCGCGAGAGCCGTTTATAGACGATGGCATGTTTGATCCGCGCCGAGATTATTGGGGTAATTTTAGCAGAACCATTGCGCAGTTCGGGGTAACAACACCAGCAGGATCCAACTGGGTTGCCGGTGAGTTCAGAAAGCTACAGAGTGCCAGGGTACGAACACTTGACCTTGCACACCAATAGGCTTGCTTCACGCTTGGTGCCTTCGGTGGTACACACAGTCAAGCAACAGTGTACCACTATATGGTACGTACACGCCTGGTACGCGTTCCGCACCCTCCAGACGGTGATTTGTTCGGGGGAAAATAATAGACTAAGACGTTTTGCTGAAAAATAGGCACATCCTGTATGTGCCACATCACTTCACCTTATATTAACACCTTAGGAATGTTCCACCCGTCTCGTGTTGTTGATCGATCCAACCAACGGATACGTACCGGGGCTATGCCCGACATCAGCCGCACACAGGGGCTTAGCGTCGACGAGCTCAAACTGCGGTCCCGCATCCTCTTCGGATCCATGTTGCATCGAGTGTTTCGGTCTTTCCTACTGCGACGTGTTGAACGGGTACAAGGTATGGATTTTACGTCTCGATGACCCTGTGTTTGGGGTTGCTGGATACAAGATCCGATCTGCAGAGAATATGTGTGGGGGGGGTATACTGCTGGGGGTTCCAAGTGCGGGGCCCCTCGTGAGAGCCCGCGCATGTGTTAACTGAAACAGGACAATTACCGACTTTGGTCCGTGCTGGAAGAGCACGTCTGTGTTTATCAAGGATATATATCATCTGCATCGGTCCTCTGGGTTAACATAGTCCCCAGACAGACATCATACCGGGGGTGGGCACGGTATCTTCCGTGGGTGGGTACGGCAACCTCTGTGGGTGGTCACGGGGGTACACAAACACGATTTATTCATCGTTTAAAAGATACACAGCAGCCTCATGCACATCTTGTCTGGGTTCCGCGATCGGTACCGTCGGTGCACAGTCAGTACCAGTGTGCCTTGGTTGAGATCATCAGTGCGCCAAAAGCCTACAGTACATATCTTGACCGTTTTCGTTCTCTGCCTTCCATAATGACCTTGACGACGATGGCCCAGACCTACCGGGGAGAAGGTCACGTCGACATCCACTCTGTAGCGAGCTACACCAGTAACCCTTCTATGCACCTGGTTGAAATATTGAAACTGGTCAGGTGGAGGATAAATACTTTCCAGGCGAGGCTACCATTCTGGGGTCGTGCGAAAACTTCGAGGATAGGGCATCTCGCCTGGAAGTGTTCGGGCCCTCCAAGGTGCGCCGTCACAAAGGCTTGAGCGCAGACGTTTGGGGTTATCATTTAGTGGCTAGTTTGCACGAACCTGCATAAGATACCGGCGCAAACCGAAGACGGACCTGGTATGATGTCGAGCATATTTGCTGAGTACTCCTGTACAAAATGAAGGCCTTGTTTATGACACATCATTACGACTTAATCCAGTCTTGATTGCCATAAAACATCATCCTACATGAAGAAGTACGAGAAGAAACACGATCATGATTCGCACATCGCGCACAAACACCTAAACAAACATCAGCACGACCTCACGCTGCGCCATGAAAATTGCATCTAAACTAGTGTGTGGGTCTGAAACGAGTAATAATCGGTTTCCTGTTGTTCCAGACTTTCCGAGACACGGATGCCTGCCGAGAGATGGTCATCGACTACACGTGCCTCTGGTGGGGAAGCGCCAACGAGATGTATGACAACCGGTGTGGCATCGAAGCGCAGGTGTTTGACAAACTAGCGTGTGCATTTGGGTCACGTTCATACCCAACGTGCGGTACAGGAGCGGGCAATGGATCAGGGTACAAATTCGCTATTGCAGAAATATCTATTCGTCTGATAACACGTAATAGTTGATGCCTTAGGCGAGGCGCCGTTCTCTTACCGGAGACAGGATGTCCGACTTCGTCGGTCGTTCAATCTCGTCTTTCCGGAGTTCCACGGCAGTACTCCTCAAAATCCATGATTGTCTCACAGCGACCGCTGAAAGCCCATGCTACCGTTCCTTCACACTTCCTACGCCCGCAGAAGAAACAAGGGAATACACCGTCGCGTGAGATCGGTCAGCTGCTACATTATCGAAAAAAAAAACTTAAGAGACAAACCAGTGATACGAACAAAGCCTTCGCGCTCGAGACTCTTGTCGCAACCTCCCCTTGACCCTTCCCGCCCCCCCTATATTTTCCTTCGGGTCAAACAGTACAGGACGGAACGGGGTTGGTTGTGCATTCGGAATGGAGCGTTCCTTGAATTTACCACCCCAAAGCCCATCACACAGACGGCGGAGAAACGGACGAGCCCTCCTCTTTTCCATGAAAGGTTGTCCATGAAAACTAAACGTGAAAACGTCCAACGACCAGGTTTACCCCTGCCGGAGCTACTGCGTGCAGTTGGCCAAGACGTGCGCCAACAACGTGGTGGAGTGGCAGGAGCTGTGCCGGTCCATTGATTGCCCCCCCACCGACGAGGAGTGCATGCCCGGCCCTTATTCGCAGGCAAGAGGGGCTACACAGGTGTACCAGTTGTGAGGTCGTTACATGGGCGGGGGCAAGGGGGGGTGAAGCAGGTGATCACGTCAGTATGTACACTGCTGCCTTTCGAAACGGAGAGCTATAAAATACACGTAGAAAGCAAGAGGGCAAGATTCAAGTAAGCACAACGCAGTCAGTAGCTGGGCGAAACGAAATGTAGGCGAGTGCGATTCCCCGCTCGTATGCTAAACGAAAGAGAGAAACGTGGGCTTAACAGCGGAAGATCGGAGAGTGTGATGACAACCTACTGGGAGTTGGAATGGACAGGGATTCGTCGGAACCAGTTTATTTGACTCAGGGTTGAAATGGACAAAGCTTCGTGAGAATCACTACTGTGAAAATTGCGGAAGTGGCGACGAGGTGGTACGGGGATGTTGTTCACAGAATCTTCCAGGATCAGCACAACCGCCTGATCGCGGGTTTTGCGTTGGGAGGTTACGGCTGTACACAGGATCCGCCCTGAAAAAGGCGACCACCGCCATTTCCGGGTCCCGGTTGAGCAAGCTGATCTCGGCGGCCTTACACATTTGGCAACCGCTTTGCATCGCCCCCGCCAACTGTATGTATCAATGAACCAACACGCACACACTCCGTTACTCCTTCGTAGTACACGGGTTGTTGTCAAGTTCTCTGCCGTAGGTCCCATGACACCCTCTTCCATCTGATCCCCCCCCCGCGATGAACTACTAGGATCCGGACGAGGCTTGCTACCTGTACGAGTACCACTCTCCGTTGAACGCCGCCACGCCAAGAGGGAGGCACACACCCGGTGTTGTTGCTGCCGTTGCCGCGGCCTTAACGACGGTCGTCGCCTTCGTCATTGGAGCAGTGTAGCCCCGTAGTGGGGGGGGGGGGAAGAGGTGGTCAAGGGCGGACACCCGCCAAAGTTGTTGGGCGGGTACCAATGGGGAGTGCGAGCTCCACACCACCGGGAACACCCAGAAGCACTGGTGTTGCAAAAGCAAGTAATAGTGACGACACACGTGCCAAAATACTATCCGGCACAGCTGGTTGATTTGAGGAAGTGTGATGGGCGCGGAAGGTCGTTGTTTCTTCATCGAGTCTGCCGAACGGTCGAGACCTAAAGCTTCACTAAACGGGTATCACGAACAAAAAACGATAGACAGGCTTGAGCATCTCAAAGGTGCTGCGCATCTCGTTACGCTGGGGCATGGTGAAGTGACGGCAAGACCCTACCTATATCCATCGTGAAGCGAACAAGAAACTTGTTCCGCCGATTGGCACTCGAACATTTGTGATTATCGCCGGAAAAGTCAGATGTGGCTGAGACACCACGACGGGGCGCTTGTATAGTTGAATGTTTTTACAAAAAGGCAAGTCAAACAGAAGAGAAACCACCGCAAAGCAATGTAGACACAGCCGGAAAAAACTTCAACGTCGTTCTGAACCTAGCACTTCGAAAACGGCTTGAAATGGCGAGACTACGAGAATGGCTAATTACAACAGCGAGGGTAATTTTCCCGTCCGATTCTTCTTAGATCTATCGTATGCACAGCAGCACCCAGGTGCCTGGCCTTCGCCGGTGAAATGTACAACTTGCCATGCCACACATTCAAGCAGTAACCCTTACCTGCGGGAATAAAAACACCCGACAAGGTTCTTTCAATCTGTCCGCACTGTGTTGATTCAAGGGCACTACCACAAGCCGCCTAATTCCACCAATGACTCTTGTCAGCAGAAACATTGGGTCTATGCCTGGTCAATTCTCTGTATGGCCCCTACGTCCCGAATTTTCCCGAGTGGGCGAAGACAAGACTAGGAACGAATGTGCTCTATTTTGACGGTTTCACGGAAACCGAGAAGAGGAGAGGAGAAACAAACTCCCGCAACAACATAGCACTATATTGGGTCTCTCCTATCGATAACAAGCCTCGATCGGGCTCGGAATCTCTCTGGAGGCATCTGAGGCGCCGATTATCCCGTCGGACTGAAAACACATGCATGAACGACGCCTTTCCAGTTGCCACGACCGAGACTCGGGACCCGCCAGTTCACCGATGAGGCTCGAGGGAAAGCGTAGAATGAAGGACATGCCCTTTTCGCGGAGAATGAGAGGTCGAACAGCCTTATAGCTGCACAGGCCTCCAGTCCGTCCCGTTGTGAGGTATGTAGCGTTCCCACTGAGCTAACAGGCAGCGCTGACCGGTAGCTCAGTGGGAACGCTGCATACCTCACATAGGTGCTCCACTCAGCACTATCCCGCAAAATAACACCAAGCACTACGTCAGAGAAGTTAGGTGGTCCCGCCCGGGGGGGGGGGGGGGCAACGCGGTCAGGTAGAGCAGACACCCTCATCATCCCCGCCTTTCGCCTCGCCCTCCCCGCCACCGGGCCAGAACCCCACGCAAGCCAGCGACATGTGGCCCATGGCGAAGTCGTCGAAAATGATGGATCCCGGCTGGAAGCCGGTGCACCCGGCCGCGACATGCAGCGGCAGGAGGTGCTCCTCGCGAGGGTGGGCGTTGCGGCCGTGCGGCGCGTCCCTCTCCCACTCCCGCAGCCGCCGCTGGCGCTCCTCCGGGGTAACGGCCGGAGAGGCGGCGGTCTCCTTGAGCCAGTCGACGAAGGCCTCTTCCTTCGGCGCTCCCTTGCCCGGCGGGTACGGGCGGTGATCGCTGCCACGGCCATGGGTCGCCTGGCACGGCGGTCCATTGCGGTCGTGGAGGAAGGGAAAACGACCGAGGCAGGGAGTGGGCCGGGGCGGGAAAAAAAAGTCAAAGCGACACATTGGACACGATCTGTCGTCACGCAGGAAGGGCGTGGGAACCGGCTGCGGTCCCTGCACGTCCAGTTTTCGCTATAGAAGTCAAGCGCACTCCGCCATATTTTTACGGCCTTCGGCCGAGCGATTCGCACCACGGGCTGGCTCTGCGTGGGTAAACACCACCGGCAAGCGAAGAGCCCAGCCCGGTTTTCAGACTATCTGGTCGTGACCAACCCGACGTTGTCTGATTGATTGATCCCTACATGTCACCACGCACCTGGCCGCTGCCGACGATCAAAACATCCCGTTCATCGACAAGCTTCTTGAGGGTCTTCCCCATCTTGAGGTGCTTTTCCGGATCAAGGCCCCCCAAGAGGGACACCTGTGGACGTTAACGCTCGTGCGTCGTTTTAATCGTCGCGGCGAGAGTGGAGAGAACATACCAGGAAGCCAACTCGACAGGGACACACATATCATGCGGAGTTGTAGACAGCAAGAGCGTTGAACTAGGAGACGCTGAACGCTATTCAAGAACAACATGCACATCGTATCCACGCACAGATGGATCTCTATCCTATTTATCTTATTTCTTGTGTTACAGCGCGCGCTAATAGCCGCTGTTCAACCAATCCCCTCTCCTCTTCCCTCCCCCCCTTCAGGAAGATCGACAACGTGGACCCCACCGGAATGCACCCCACGCCGATACTACTACGACTCGCTCGATAAAACGAAGAATAATCCCACCCACCTGCACGACGGGAACGTCGGCGTCGGGATACATGAGCTTGAGAGGGATGAAAGTCCCGTGGTCGTAGCCGCGCGAGTCGTCTCCCCGGGCGTTGAAGCCGTCCGCCTCTAGCAGCTCGATGATGCGCCTTGCCAACTCCGGGTGGCCGGGGGGGGCGTATCTGAAGACATCCAGGAGAAAATATGTTCGTTGTAAGCAAGAATATATATAGGGAAAACGACACAACAGGGTATACCCTGGTCGAAAAGCGACACACCTGGGTACACAGTCATTAACAGCAGTAAATGCATTCATATGATTGGTCAAACGCCCAATTTCACCCCGGTACGTCCGAAAAGGCGCAGGGTATACCCTGCTGTGTCTACTTTTCTCACCAACTGTACCCTGTTTTCGGAAGTGTACCCTGACCTGACGGGAAATAAGACCCATTCATCAATCATTTCCCCGGCAGGAATCTTCCCAACTCCTTTTCCTCTCCAACCATGGGGTACCAAACGGCGAATCTTCCCACCCAATAACAACCATGGCAACGCGGCAGGAATCAGTTTCCGCCCCTGCCAAACAACACCAACCATCAACTCTTCCGCTCTAAATCAACAATGGCCGGGCACTACCCCAGCACAGCAGTTGTTCCGTTTGGAAACATGCACACACGTACGTGTACAATACCCCGTGCACCACTGCTTGCTGCAGTCTATCTATATGCGACATGCACGGGTCACGCTACGAAAGCGAGACCAATCCAGCATGGTTGACATGCATTTATATGCATGTATGTGCCCATGATGTGTGGCGCTGCGCTGAGCGGGCGGAGGAGAGAGGCAGCAACACCACACACAGACACGCCCTTGACATCAATCATGGAAGGAGGAGCGAGTGCTAACAACTCTGGCAGCAGGACTGTGTCGTCCAACTCAATCACCCTCCCTGTGCTCGCCGTGTATTTCATCGGCTCATCCCGCTGAAGCCTGACGTCTTCTTACTACATACATTGATTGGTTGGTCGGCTTGGTCGGCTGGTAAGCGCGACCGCTGCTGTTACAGCAGTAGTAGTAGTTCAAGCAAGAAACACATCGCAATTGAGACACAACAGACAACACACCCACGCACACACGGCACAGGCAGGAGGGAGTGGCGGCGCCCAACGTTACCCGTGTAGTGCTGTGGACATACATGCATATATATATATGCATGTCAACCATGCTGGATCGGTCTCGCTTTCGTAGCGTGACCCGTGCATGTCGCATATAGACTGCAGCAAGCAGTGGTGCACGGGGTATTGTGCGCGTGTGCATGTTTCCAAACGGAACAACTGCTGTGCTGGGGTAGTGCCCGGCCATTGTTGATTTAGAGCGGAAGAGTTAATAATGGTTGGTGTTGTTTGGCAGGGGCGGAAACTGATTCCTGCCGCGTTGCCATGGTTGTTATTGGGTGGGAAGATTCGCCGTTTGGTACCCCATGGTTGGAGAGGAAAAGGAGTTGGGAAGATTCCTGCGGGGGAAATGATCGATGAATGGGTCTTATTTCCCGTCAGGTCAGGGTACACTTCCGAAAACAGGGTACAGTTTGTGAGAAAAGTAGGCACAGCAGGGTATACCCTGCTCCTTTTCGGACGTACCGGGGTGAAATTGGGCGTTGACCAATCATCTGAATGCATTTACTGCTGTTAATGACTGTGTACCCAGGTGTGTCGCTTTTCGACCAGGGTATACCCTGTTGTGTCGTTTTCCCATATATATATGGGGTGATATTTAGGCTACATAAAAGCCGAGCGGGCAACTACAGCTTGGATAATCGAACGCACCGACAGTTCAACACCGGGAAGGGCTGCGCTGGATGAGGGACGCACCGAGAACGAGAAGCCGGCCCACTAGCTCTGATGTGACATCTGCGACACCGAAAGCAGTATTACTCACAACAGCACTTACGACAACGGCAGCAGCGGCGGCAGCACGCAACCCAACAAACAGGCAAACGGGCCACCAAACAACTGAAACAACGACCACAACAACACACCCATGAGAATAGCGAGTAGCACGCCACACACACACACACACACACACACACACAAAAGAAGCTTACTCAAGGTCGTAGCAGTAGTCCGGGAACCCGTAGTAGTCGAAGAACAAGGGATGTTTCTCGCCGGTGGTGACCTTGACGGCGCCCCTTCCTTCCCAGTGCGCCGACACGACGACGATGGCGGAAGGCTTGGCCCACTTCTTGGTGAACGTGCGGTACCACTGCGCCGCGGCGCTCGTGGCGTCGATCTGTTTCATCCCTCCCGTGCGGCCCGTCATGAGGAAAC